CCCCCCCCCCTCCCCAAACGGTGCTTTACTTTGAACTTGGTACATCCCCACACCCAGCCCAGCACATGCCCGGAAGAGGCGTTGTATTAGCTGTACCCGGCTTTCCCAGTGTCTGTATAGGTCAGGTGCTTTAGTGGGCTTTTCTGGCACTTTCATCTAATAGCTGATTGAACCAGCCAAAAAACACCTCTGAAGCATCTGATCTATACAGACACTGCAGAGCTTGGTCAAAGTAACACACTGCTGCTTCTGATAAAACAGTTTTTTGGGGTTTTTTTCCCCCACATCTGTCAGCACCTGTAATGTCTGGGAAAAAAGATTCCAAGATGCTTCAGCTTTACCCCACAAATATATTATAAACATTTGGAAAATAGAGGATCCCATGCTAAGTGATGCAATTTTAGAAACATGCAGAGAGAATAAAAAGGTTACCTGGCTTCCTCAGGCCCTGTTTTCCCTACCAGTAAGTAAGAGAGGAATATTAATATTAAGCTTCTCATAGAGCTTACTAAAGCATGTGCAGTTAAACACTAGCCCAAACTGACAACAGCAACATCCGCTTTGCACTTTGGAGTGCCAGCTTTAAAAATCTGACCTTGGATCTGAACCTAGAGCACAGCTGTCCACCTTCCCCATCCCTCCCCCGCTCTCAGGACTTTGAGCTTGCTGGCTTTGAAATCTGTGGCTTGACTGTATGTCTATAGCAGTCAGTGAAGCACCCTGCGGTTTTTCGGTGGAAGATGGTCAAGATGATTAAGTTGTAGTAAGCCACCTGCTCAAGCAGTTCCCCAATACCACTTGCCCCTGCCCCTCGGTTCATCCCAAGCCATAGGGCTTTGATCAGCATCAGAGCCGAGAACAGACCCCAAATCTCAACGTCAGCCCTGTGCTCTCCCCGCTCAGCCGCATCCCCTCCCCAAGAAGGCGGGGAGCCACGCGCACCCCGACATCATACGAGTTGAGGTCGCAGCTGTTTTTGGCACTGCCCAAAAACGCTGCCAACCCCTGGCCTAAAAGAAGGGCCTGTTCACCTCTTTCTCCACAAGGGCCAGCGGATACTTGGTGTTGGGATCCCTCAGCGTGATGGGAGCCCGCGTCCTCGCCGCCTTGAAGACGAACAGCAAGACCGAGGCGCCCACGACCAGCGCCGCAGCGAGCACGGACAGCTCCTGGGGACGGCAGGGCGGGAAGGGGCGTGAGAGGGCCGGGGTCGCCTCGGGGGTGCACGGGCAGGGGCCCTCCCGGCGCCAGGCGGGGCTGGCAGACAGAGGCAGGAGGGGAAAGGCTGAGGCTGCGCCGGGCGAGGCCCCGCTCCCGCCCGCGCCCCGCTCCGCTCACCTCCATCGCGGCCGGCTCCGCGGGCTGCCGGGCCTGCTGCGCCGCGAGACTAGACCGCCCGGCCCGTGAGACAGTCACCCGCCGCGTCCAGCCCGCCTGGTGCCCTGCCCGGCGCCTCCCTCCGCCGCCCTCCCCCACGCGTCGTCTGCTCGCCCTTCACCTGCCGCCACCCCGCCCTCCCCGCGTCCTCTTTTCATCTTTACCTTTTGCACCCTTTGAGGTAAGGGGCTGTTGTTAATGAAAGCGAGGTACGCGAGAGAGTAACGCTGTGTGTGTGTGCGTGTGTACACAAAAATGCAAAATCTAGAAGTCTGAGTTCAGAGATGATACACTTTATTAGAGCAACTGAGAAACTACCACAAAAAAAAAAAAATGTTTTCTGCAAGCTTTTGGGCGCTCTCACATGTATACACACACACACACACAGCCGTGTGTGTGTGTGTGTGTATATATATATTTATACACACATATACAGACAAATAAATATACACACATTTATTTATATAATATATAATAACAGATGTGTTATATGTATTATATAAATAAATGTGTGTGTATATTTATTTATATGTTTGTATATGTGTGTTTAAATACACACATATATGCGTCTATACGTGTGTATATATGTCTGTGTGTTTATGTGCATTTATATGTATACATATTTGTGTGTGGGGGAGGTATAAAAAAAGTTGTACAATGTAGCTGTACTACTTAAGTTTCACATCACAGTGATTAATTTGTGGTATATACATAACTATATACACACACACACGTGTGTAAACTTACACTGGGCATTTTTTTTTTTTTACGTAAATAAAAACTAAAGGAAGTAATTTTATTTTTTTTAACAAAGTTGCTCTACCCCCACATATATATATCTCCCCCACATACATGCATACACACCCCACACCCAGACAAACTAACCCAACCATTTGTAAGATCTAACAGAGTATTGATGCTTGCATAATATTTTAAGAACTTAATTAATGGTAAAGGCCGGGCAAAAAAGATTCCAAGATTCTTCAGGTTTAAGCGTCAGATGTCCCACAGATGTGTTATAAATATTTGGATAATGGGAGACGGAGATCTGTTAATTTTGGGTGTCCAAAGACCTGATATTCAAAGATTATTGTTGCAGTTCATTTAACATTTCATCTGTTCAGAGCACAACTGTCCCTGGCGTTCAGCGCTGCTGCTATTCAGACATGAAGTGTTTCAAGTTTTACTATGCAGAAAACAAGGAAAATACATTGGTTGAGGGTGAAAAGCTTGATTTAAATGACTAGACTTACAGTGAATCACTGCTTGCAGTGTCTGAGCTAGCTGGTGTATCGTTACAGGGCGCTGCACTGTGGTAGGTTAGATATATTCTAGATATAAGGGAAGGAATGCCAAGAAAACTTCCCATTGTATGTATAATGAGCATCAGTACAAGACAACATAAAGCACAGAACCCCACCCCCAGCCACATTAATTCTTCACTTTGCAGTGAGCATGCTTGTAAAGATACTGA